ACATCCAGAAACGATCCTTGCCACCTACCCATCTCCCAAGATGGACACACCGGCTCCCTCCTCTACTAGGACCTCCTCTGTCCCCCCCCCCCATTGTCCCCCATTGTCCCCCTCCGGAACCGATAACAACTGTCTCTCCCCCTCATGTCCCCCCCCCCCCCTCCCGCTATCACCTCTACGCCGTCCGGAACTGATAACACCGTGCCTCTCCACCCCTCATATCCTAACCAAGTAGGAAGGGACGATAACACCCACGGCTGACCTGTAGTGACCTGCCTAAGTAACGGTGGTGCCACTCTTGTTACCGCTGACCTCTGACCCCACACCTGCAGGTGGCGCTCTCTGCATACCTGCTCTACTCACCCGCCAGTCGCACCTCTGGAGAAACTGGTCCGAGGGATAAGCCAGCCGGTGATAAATCCTCCCTCCTCCAGTATGATAATGTAGCCATCTGGGGGTTTAATTGAGCTGTTGGACAAAGCGATGCTGTATTTACAGTGATTGAAGTTTACTATTATATTAGCACTAGTCGTAGTAGTAGTAGTACTGTGGTCCTGATGGTACAGTGCTCTTTTAGTAGTGGTATTGATAATGTTATAGTACCCATAGTAATAATATCAGTAGCAATAATTAGAGTACTATCGCTGCAGTAATAATAGTGCTGCATTGCATAGTATTAGCAATAATATTACTACTCTAGTAGTAGTTGTATAATTGTGGTAGCATGATAAATAGTAGTGATGATTTTTATAAATAGTAGTAGTAGATGCTGCAGTCGGTTGACAGCAGCAGTTGATGTTGGCACTTCAGCTGTAAAACAAAAAAGTTGGTGATACTGACGGCGGAGATCTTTAAGCGAGTTAAGAACGTTTGGGAGCACCCTGTCAAGGAAGGTATTTTAAAACTCAGTTTCCTCTAAAACACACACACACACTTTAGCAATATATAAAAAAACTTGCACAAGTTCGAAGATATACCACTAGAATGGTTGGGAGAGCAGAAGCAGCCTAAATAATTTTATAATTTTGTGATGTATTTCGTTATGCTAATAGCACATGGACTTTTTATTATTATTATTATTATTATTTTTTACCACAAACGTGGCCACACATTTACAATGCTAACCAGCATATATACATTTTCTTCTGTCCTCCATGGACAGGGTGAAAGATTTGTCAAACATACAGTTCAGAGATTTATTGAACAACCACAGAAGGTGATCGTAGTGCTTTTAAAATGTTAGGCTAAGCTACATATGTAAATAAGCACATGGACTGGACTGGACTGGTCCCAGGACTGGGAGTAGAGTACGAGGACAGAGTGGAGACATGAATGCGACGTATAATATCATTGTCACAGTAGATAAGGTCGAAATACACAGAAGATGCAACAACAGGACGAAAGGTCATGGATGAGAATTGTCGACACAGATGAGTCAGTGATAAAAGGAAACATTTATCTAGCCTAAGAGTAGAAGTATGCGAAACGCCGCTACGATTCAAATGGAGCCGGAGCCATTGCATTAGACAGATAGCTGAAGAGACGGGTACAAAGAGCAAACGTTCATACTTCCAGGCACGATTAGGCACGATTTCGAGCCTGGCCTCGGGCCGGGCTTGGGGAGTAGAAGAACTCCCAGAACCCCATCAACCAGGTAACCAGGTAGGCTAGCACAGTAAGAAATAAAAATATAAACCCGCTCAATTATAATTTAATCAACTAAGAGATTGCAAAAAAAAACAATGGAGGATAAAATTCAGTGCAGAATAATACCATGTAACAAGTAATGGGAGAGAGTGGAACTGAGTCATAAGAATTATAGGTTTCATTTAAATTCTGTGGTGATGAGATAAGGAAAGCTCGGGGTAATAATGTACTATACTTTATTAGGAGAAAAATCACATGAACGCTTAAGTAAGAAACCTGTTCGCAGGTTTGGCAAAGTTTATGATAGGTCTCATTGGAACACGCACCTGTGGTGTGTAGTGTAGGCACTTAAAAGTGGATATGATGACAACATGGGTGTCCATATAAGGTTATGCACATATAGAGAAGAGTACAACCATAATATAGCTGGACTGAAAGGTTTTTAATTTACAACAATCAGATATCAGAAGACGCTAAGCCTGTCTATATCTATGATAGCGAATGTGTGTGTATTGAAGGGCAGGCGGTTGTAGTAAGTCTCGTGCAACTTTACATGGTGAATTGTGATGGTATGGCGAGTGTCATACTCATGTTCTATGTAATGTAAAAGATAACTAAACACCTTTATTGTGTTACAATGGGGGGGGGGGGGGAGTCGGTAGGGGTCGGCTTCCATGCCCCGCTTTAAGTAGGATTGACTCCTATTGCTGCAACCAACGACTCCTATGAAATCTGAGTATTTAACAAATGTTCAGCTGTTCATCACACTTAACAACCTAACTACATTGTTATTACAAGTTTGTATCATTGTAACGGTAGTAAAAGAGGAACGATGAGGATAGGTTGTTTGCTGGGCCACTGAGTGTTCCGAGAGAGAGAGTGAGAGAGAGAATGAGAGGAAGAGAGAGAGAGAGACAGGCAAACAGAGAGATACCCGGGAACCCTCATCCAGTAAGTCTAAAAATTACAAAGTAAAAGATTTGACAGGGAAGTGCTATCTTACTAATAATGGCAGACGGGTGATGCGGAGATAGTTCATAAAAAACAACTCTTTAAGTTTAAAAACTATTAATAAAATATATAAGAAATGCGATACACAACTGAGCGCTCTTGAACCTGCAAGCATGTTGTCATAAATAATTACTCTTGAGGTTAAGCACTCGTAGGTAATTACACGTACCTTTCAATGCCAATATGCTTTCTACCTCTGCCGTCAAAGGCCTGGCCGCCGCCACCACCAATTTGGCCGATCACTACCAGTGGCCTCCATGTTGACACCCCGCGTGACGTCACAGCCTCCCCACCGTGTATATAAACTCTTATCATAACAATCATCCGTGTAAACATTAAATTTGTAATATATTTTCAGTTTGGTAGTAAATAATCTTGCTCCTTAGTTTAAATCTTTATTTTCAGTCTGGTAATTATAATAAGAATCTGCTGGTAAGTTATCCACATGGTATAATTACTTTTCGGAAACCAGTCTTTAGCTGCTGTCTTGAAGAAGATGAGACTTGCTGGTAAGCGCTGTGTAAAGAAGCGCAGGCATTTGGTTAAGTGAGAGGCTCAGACAACTCACTAGCAGTGAAAGGTGTAAACATTGCCCAAACATGTTGATGGGGGTGTCAGAGGGGGTGCAGGTGTAGGGTCATCAAGTGAGGGGGGGGGTCCAGGTGTGAGGTCATCAAGTGAGGAGGTGGTGCAGGTGTGAGGTCATCCAGTGAGGGGTGCGGGTGTGGGGTCATCAAGTGAGGGGTGCAGGTGTGAGGTCATCCAGTGAGGTGAGTGCAGGTGTGAGGTCATCCAGTGAGGGGGTGCAGGTGTGGGGTCATCAAGTGAGGGGTGCAGGTGTGGGGTCATCCAGTGAGGGGGGTGCAGGTGTGGGGTCATCCAGTGAGGGGGTGCAGGTGTGAGGTCATCCAGTAAGGGGTGCAGGTGTGAGGGTCATCAAGTGAGGGGGGTGCAGGTGTGGGGTCATCCAGTGAGGGGGGTGCAGGTGTGGGGTCACCCAGTGAGGAGGGGGTGCAGGTGTGAGGTCACCCAGTGAGGAGGGGGTGCAGGTGTGAGGTCACCCAATGAAGGGGGTGCAGGTGTGAGGTCACCCAGTGAGGGGTTGCAGGTGTGAGGTCATCCAGTGAGAGGGGGTTGCAGGTGTGAGGTCATCAAGTGAGGGGGGTGGGTGCAGGTGTGAGGTCACCCAGTGTGGGGGGGGGGATGTGCAGGTATGGGATCATCCAGGGAGGTAGTGGAGGGAGGGGGGCGCGTGGGTGGTGGATGGCTCAGAGAGGAGGTCGTGGATGCCGGATGCGAGAAAATGTGCTCAATTCCAGCAACATTCCGCGTACAAAATAGCTCTTACGTGCTGTGCTGGTGGTTTTATTCATCGTAAAGGCAGAGGGAGAGGCATGTTAAGCTCAAAGCTGGCTAAGATTGTACAAATATGAAATTCGATTCGAGCATGCGAACCAGAGGACAGAAATATCATAAAAAAAAGATTAGCATTGCAATGCAAATTGTCCAACAGGTGAGAAATGGGTCATTAATTTTATGAAATTACGTGACTAATCAAAGTCATGTAAATATCATACTCTGGCAACTAATTACGGGTTTTCAAATACAGTAACAAAATATGTACGGTGTAGTTACGCTCTAATTATGAAATTTAATGTGGTTTTTTTATAAGCAGAAAGAAAATGATGGACCTGTTTAAGACTTGCTTATAACCTTAAATGACAGCAATGAGACTTTTTGTTTCTCGTAATAGATTATTACGAAGAATACACCACACTGACAAAGAAAGCAAGAACTTTGTCTTTAATGAATCTTAGTCAAGTTATACAAAAGACATTGTATACAGTAAGTTTGTTGTGTCCTGCTATGTAGTCTTCCCGGCTTTGTGCCTTTTACTAATTATTCATTTTTTACTGTATGGGTTCGGTGAGAGGCTTAAACACGTCTTAACACGTTTGTCAGTGTGAACCCAACTACCTGGCGCTACATGATGCGGTCATCGTAGCCTAATGCACTCTAACCTCGACGATTATTATATATTTATCGTCTTGTGGGCTGGATATATAATAAAACCAGAAATTTATTGATAAAAAACTGATAATGAATTTATTGATAAGAAACATAATGAATTTATTGATAACATATAATGAGTTTGATGAATTCCTACTTTGTTTCATCTCTCATCATAGAGGATGAGGAGTCATAATAACGTGGCTGAAAAATGTTGACCAGACCACACACTAGAAAGTGAAGAGACGACGATGTTTCGGTCCGTCCTGGACCATTCTTGTCTTGATCGACTTGAGAATGGTCCAGGACGGACCGAAACGTCGTCGTCTCTTCACTTTCTAGTGTGTGTTTTTGGTCAACATCATAGAGGAGAAACAAAGACAACAGATCAGGTGATGATGCAGCTGCAAGGACAGAACAAGTATAAACTAGACCAGACTTGTTAACTATACGGGCTCACCATAGCCCGTGCTACTAGGAACTTTTTTGTTCCAAGTAGCGAATCTTAAACAACAACAACATTGTTAACTATGAGACCAATGGGTGAGGTGCAAGCAGCGGCGAGGCTGTTGCCTGGTAGTATGCCCTCGCACACTTACAGATCTAGTCAACAATACAATGTTTTCTTGCCTTAGAGACTTACGGGCTCACCATAGCCCGTGCTACATGGATACTTCGTCCTGAGTAGCTAAATCTTTAACAACGACAACAGCCTTAGAGATGTAACTAACAATGGAATAAATTAATCTTATTGCTACTCAAATTGTATACGTTGAGGCGAGCATACGTTTTTGTTTAAAAGTCAGCATACCATACATCGAAAACTAACCTTTGGATTCTCTTTTGATCAAGAGTCGACAAATGTACATAACGATGACTATATAAAATAAACACAAATAAACAGTAAATGAGCAATATTATAATTATACATGACACATAAACATGACTCCGTACAATAAACAGCTAATAGTTGACAAAATATATATAAAGGAAATGTAACACTGGGATTGTTCAACTCGTTTTATTGAGATGTTCTTTAATACTGATCTAGATTCTCACAACACCAATAATGCTTCAGGGTTTCAGAAAACGCACTCATTCTCAGGTTCAACAATGGCTACTGTGAGCTTAGATGAGGTTTTATCCGGCAAGATCACACAAAGTTTAGCGGTATTATGGCTGTCACTCAAAGGCGTAGATACTATCGAACAGTCTTCAACACCATGAGATATAGTGCTATGGAACTGAACAGCTGTTTCAGAACAACTGGACAGTTCTTGAACAGCTTCAATATAGAGTTCAAATGGTAAATACCTACAGACTTTTTCAGGAAAAAACACTGCTGAATATATCTATATGCAGGAAGTGTAATGCGAGTGTTTCACACACTAAGGTAATTAGGTTTGCTTCATTTGCTGCTCAAGTCATCGGCAGGGTACCGAAGACATTACACTGAGCTGTCTAAGCATATGATGTGTAATTCAGGTTTATGCTTTGAAGATGTACCAACATATAAAACAGTCAGTCCACAAAATATTTATATACATGCAGACGGGCCAAGAGAGGCGTCCGGTTATTATTTGGCTGCTGCGCCTACTGGAAGAGAACTCAGGAGAGGATCTGAGGGTCCGTCGCCTCAGGCAATCGACCCAAGTTGGCCAGAACGTCGAGCTGACCTTCCAAGTCGTGGTCCGACAGGTCGCTAAAGTCCCCTCGACTGCTCAAGCGGGTTTCAGTGTCTCGGGGGAATGTTTGATCGTCTGTGTCTCTGGGGTATGATTGATCGTCCTTGCCACCATCAGAAGCGCTTGTATGGTTGGAATCATCACTCTCTTCGAATATCTTGGCGAGTGCTAGTATGTATGTGTCTTCGGCATCATCCTGCTCCTTGAGGGCGGATGTCTGAGGGTTGAGATCATCTGGATCTGACGAGTAGGTCTTCTGGTCGTCACTACCAGTGTCTGAACAGCTGCTGGTCTTGTCGTCATCGTTACTGTAAGAGCGTTGAATGTCGTCTTCCTGGAGAAGCTGTGTGAGTGCCGCGATATACCTTAGTGCCAATGTGAGCGTGGTCATTTTGGCGGCGGCCGAGGCATCTTTGCGACAACCGGCTGCATCTGGTAAGACATTTCGCAGATTCTCGAAAGCTTTATTAATCTCTCGCATGTGGGATCGCTCGTGGGAGCTGCCCAGCTTCTTGCGACATTTTGTGAACGGGATTTGCCTCGACCTGATCGGTTTGTTCGTCGCTTCTCTAAGGCGCCTCTCTTGTAGTAAACGTTTGATTATTGTCCTTGGCCGCATCCCGTATTTGTCCGCTATCCGGGAATGAGAATACCCCAGACTCCTCTTGCTGGCGGAGTGGTGTTTGCTCCTCGTCTTATAGGTGGCCCCGGGGGCGCCTAACCTTTCCATGTTGTCTTATGTTCCCAACAGTCTCTTGCAGGTGGGTAATATTTTCAGACACAATGTCACCATCTCCACAAAACTCGCTCAGATATTCAACGTCTTAAATATCGTGACATCGTCTCTAAAAATCGATTAACTTAAACTTGAAAATCCAAAAAGGCTTAATCTGGCTTCATAGCAGAACCTCGTCGATTGAATGACCTTATAAAGAACACTATTAATTATTTTTACCGCTAAACTATATTGGGCACGAGGAGTTATATTTTATTTGGTTAATTGATAAACTAAAAAAACTACGTTAATCAGAATTTTCTAACAATTAGGAATAGTAATCCAGTTTTTTAACGAGATTATGAACGATGTGGCGTTAAGGTGCTGTATTCAATGATACTGAACCCTGGTGATGGTGCTGTGATGCTGCACCAGTGGTAGTGCTGTTCTCGTGTGCTGATGCTGTATCCAGATGGTTGCGCCTTATGTAGTCAAAGAAAGATATATCCAGGTGACAGTGATGTGGTCAGGTGGTGTTGCTGTCCACAGATGACGAGGATTTAACACCTGCAAATCAGGAAAGGAATTTCAGTAAATATACCATGGTGATGACTTTTTTATATGATTATTATCTAAGAAAACCCCAATGTAAACACATGCTTGCACACGCTATAGTTAAGTGGCACTGTGTGTAATTTTGTATATTAAAACGTGTAATTGCAAAGCAAGACGTCATGCGCAGTCTAACCTCCAAAATTTTAGCACGTATAACGACCGAGGGCCGAAAATACAAAATATAATGTTTCACTAGGCTTTCGTGTGCGATATAAAACACGGTAGTGTTCACAATGCTTATCGGTGGACATACACTAAGTTTATTTTAGTTCTGGACTGTCCAGAACTAAGGTATATTTGCTGTTTGGTCACTGAACATTTGTGTTGACCTCAACACCCCTCCCAGAGGTTAATAGACCTTCAGACCAACACCGATTCATTACAGTTAACTAGTTTTGTGAGGATATTTGAGGCGACATGTAGAAAACGAAGCGTTAAAATAAGGACAAGAGTGTAGCCTATATAGAGCTACGAAACCTATTCGTGCCTTAACATACTGCCTATATGGATTATATATGGTATACGTTTGGTAAGATAAAGATAGATTACATTTTGTTTACTTTTTTCAATGTGCAAATTCCTCGTACGTGTTGCCTTATAATTTAAATAATAATACATTATGTATTGTTATCTTAACATGTAATTGGAAAGCTTGTTATGTGTTCATATTTTTTGAAGAAGGGTTGCATTGGTGTATTTGTAGACAACATCTGGTCTTCCCCACACATCCGGCACGTATAGCTATGGCATAAGACTTCACGGACCGAATTTCCGGTCCCGGATGTAATAAGCAGTTGGTTCCAGCCTCTTGGGTTTCGGACCAGTTGTACCTGTCCAAACCCAATCTCCGGCCATACTCGTCCAAGTTGCTGCCTTCCACATAGGTACATATGTAAATCTGTCATAGTGTGTAATAATGTATTTTCTCATAAAAATTAATATTAATATAGTAATTGTGTAGGTTTGGTGTGGAAGTCCTGCTGGTAATTCATTGTATTTGTAGTACGTTAGTGCAGCATTTAGAGAGGTGCCATTCGACGACCCGTCCTAACACTAGGCTGGTTAAAGCAGCGGCCGTCCTCCCCAGACGCATTCATAAATTTTAAATTAATTAACATACTGTTCATTCAACACGGCAATTTTCTCAAATATAAATGAATATTATAATAGCATATTGTGCATATATAAGCATAGGTTAGGTTAGGTGTTTAGCTTCTGTTTGCGATTATTTTTGAGGCGTTGACTTACCCAAAACACCCCAAGTTTAGTTTGTATGTTTTATGAATGTTAACTTCGTAAAGTTAGATTTGAATAGCTTAAATCTACGTAAATCGACCAAAAAATTAAAATACAAACTATTTTAAAATTTACAAAAATTTAAATTACAAACTTATGCAAGTCTAAAAATTCAGGTTTAGATGTTCTTAATTGAAAATAATGTTGGTGCAATTTTATTTTAAGGTCAGATTGAAACGATGTGAGGCATTTGTCAAAAAGTTTTTCAAACGAGTCAAAACATCCTCTATGCAAAGGCAAAAATTGCAAAAAACATTATCGCTGGCGTTAATGTCAATTTGACTAATACATCTTAAGTTTCGAGTCATAGCTTCGAACATAGTCAGATTGATTTAAGTACAAAAGCAGACTATCGCTGATTTTGCAACATGTCCGTCTAAGCATCGGCCAAATGTTCGTTAATTGAATTAAAATTAATTTAAGTTTCACTCCCACCCGTCCTAAGGCTATGTTCGTTACATCCAGCGACCGACTGCTCGTTAATCCAACCGTCAAATCTCCTGTTTATAAATGAAAAACACACGACTCTCAACTGATGACGGTCGAACACTTCTCGAACCGTGCTTCGCTGACTTTCTATGTTCAAGACATCTCAACTGTTTCACATACGTACTGTAAATCCAACGAAAATGATAAAATATAACAATGGTAATATATATTTGGTAAAATAACTGTTTTGATTGCACATTAAGTTAAAAAATTATAAATATATGTTTGAGGTCGGCCTCAACTTAGAGAAACAAAATCACCCCGAGATGGATCGCACTTTAATGTCAGTACAGTATTTGATTAATATGCGGACGGTGAGTCGCCATAACGTGGTGAAGATATGATGTCCAAGCCACACATTATCAAGTGGTGTAATGGGAAGAGAGCGATTGATTGATGAAGATTAAGCCACCCAAGAGGTAACATGGGCATGAATAGGTAACTCTTAGGGTCACAAAGAGAGCGGAAGAGAGAGACATTATAAGGGAAGTGAGTGAGATGAAAGGTGGGATGAATGAAAGATGAAGATAATAAGATGAAAGGTAGAAATGAGATGAAAGGTAGAAATGAGATGAAAGGTAAGAATAAGATGAAAGAAAAGAGAAAATAATGAAAGAAATCAAGAGCAGGGTACATCTCGACCGATGTGTGTATGTATGTACATGTAAAATTGCTTCCTAAATCTTATATATTACGGAAATACAGATAATGGGGTGTATTCCGCTTCGCGGTGTATATAAACCGAGTTTACTTTAGTCTATTTCCGGATGTACAAAACAGATACTCAAGCTAAAACACATTCCCCAACACGTCAAGGAAAACACGCAAAAGCTGATTTGTTAACATTAAAATTAGTCAAATTATTTATTGTCTGCGATATTGATTTCGATTGAAACGTTCACTAATTATTGATTTGATAGCAGAGCATTATTTGAATAAGTTTTTTCTCAAGGTTAACGTATGTAAAAACTAGAGGAGCAACCAAATGACCGTAAATTATCAGTTCGTAGTTATGTAGTTACGAATACTCATTTGCACATTTAAGCTCAGGGAGTTAAATGACATTCATATCTTTTTTAAATTAACATTTACGGCTGTAAAAATATTCTGGTAAAGAAAACATACATAAATTATCAGTATTTAAAGTCGTGAACTTTCACACAAGGGAAACGGGCTGTGAAAAAAAAAGAGCCATGTCATGATTCTTGAGAAAATCTTGACATTTACAACGTCCAGTAATGGCACACAGCTGGAAGTCCTCCTGCCTGAGAGATGATGCCCTATCAAACCGGCTGGTAATCCCCATAAGGACGCCGGGTTCTGCATAGATAACCAGGTGTATCATGGTTACCTTTGTATTTAGCTTGGTGTGAATAGCTGATACAATACGGGCTCACCATAGCCCGTGCTACTGGAACTTCTTGTTCTGAGTAGCTGAATCTAAAACAACAACAACAGCTGATACTTAATTTAGATTGTTTCTATGGGTAGTTTATACAGATAATGTCAGCACCTCTCACTGGTTAATATAGATTAAGCCTGATTCAATAATTTTGTATCATGCGAGGCTAAGTTATCAGAGGCTTCATATTTTAGTTTAGACTATTAAGACCAGACTGCAAGTAAATTGTGTGCGATTAATAGTGATTAGTTTAATGCCAAGTTTAAGTTTGTCAACAAAGGTTTAACATGTTATAAGTTTGATTTGCTTGTAGCTTAACGCCGTTAGAATAAGAGATCGTATTCGCGGGCGTGACCAAACTACCAACATGAGTCTCCGTGGTGTAGTGGTAAGACACTCGCCTGGCGTTCCGCGAGCGCTATGTCATGGGTTCGTATCCTGGCCGGGGAGGATTTACTGGGCGCAATTCCTTAACTGTAGCCTCTGTTTAACGCAACAGTAAAATGTGTACTTGGATGAAAAAAACGATTCTTCGCGGCGGGGATCGTATTCCAGGGACCTGCCCGAAACGCTACGCGTACTAGTGGCTGTACAAGAATGTAACAACTCTTGTATATATCTCAAAAAAAAAATATCTCAATGAGTCCACATGGTGATTCCTCTCATCATTGGCAGCTGGAAGTTTTACCAATTGGTCGTGTGGTCACATTTCGAGGAATGCACTGACTTTATCTCCAGTTCTTATAAACAAATCTCTGGTGCCGAAGAGGATAAATTGTCGTGTAATCTGAGAATTTAGCAAAGAAAATAAAGATGAAATATATTTCTTCACAAAGCATATTTGGAATGATTTCGACGACTACAACAGGAAAGATAATCAAAAGAAAACGCTAAGCCAGGAAGGCTATATAACTACGGTTCCCACAGTTGTAAGTTATTAACTTAAAAAACAGGAAAAAGAAGAGAATTGTGTATAATATTTTGACCATAAATTGCCGTGCGATCAATGACTTGATCTTGTGAATATGCAGCTCGGGACTTGCATGGTCAGTGTTCGATTCCCCGAGATTGAGCACCGTTCTCTCACGCTGTCCTTTTATCTCGTATTCTAAGTCTGCCCTTATCCAAACTCCAATCCTATCCTTATATCCCAGCTTTAAGCTGTCCTCGTATCCCAGCTTTAAGTCTGACCTCGTAGTGTGTCTCACTAATCCCTTCCCGTGCTACATAACCATACTTAGCGGTTGCTCTTAATAATTACATTTATACTTGGATATATCCATGGCTGGATGCTCTTAGCTAAACCCTGAGAGAGAGAGGAAAGCTTCTTTCATTAAACATGAACCTGCTATTGACATCTTTATTCTCGGTGAGCAAGTATACGGTTTAGATAATAAATGACGGAAATTGTTGCTTGATGGAATGATTTTGTGAAAGTTTATTCACGCAATGGATGCATTGTATGTTATTATTACCATCTTGAGGTTATCTTGAGATGATTTCGGGGACCATGGCTAAATACAAGTATAAACTCATTTCCTTGTACAATTCCTCATTATGTTACAAATAATCGGTACACAGTGGGTCATCAGGTGTTTTTACAAGCACTGAATTATAAGGCAAACATTTTAACGACTACCATGAACTCATAATTATTTAAAGATTCTGCTTCGTGGAGCGAGGCTCGTAGCCTCGTAATTTAGGTTAGGCTGTAAAATTGTCAAATAGGATAGCACATATTATGTGGTTATAATAATAAACTCTGTTTATGGTGACTGTTGATATATTTGGAAATATTGACGACATTTCGATCAATTTTAAGTGGATGGACAAGTTTTTCTTCGTTGCTGTTATTTGTGAGTTTATTGAATGTTTTTACCTAGTGGGATGAACGAGTGCAAATGGTTTAAGAATGGGTCTAGTGGCAAGTTGCTTCAGCCTGGCTACGTCCGGTTACTTTAGGCTAGGTCTGGATACTTCAGGTTAGGTCTGGAGTTACTTTAGGTTAGGTCTGGATACTTCAGGTTAGGTCTGGAGTTACTTTAGGCTAGGTCTAGATACTTCAGGTTAGGTCTGGAGTTACTTTAGGCTAGGTCTGGATACTTCAGGTTAGGTCTGGAGTTACTTTAGGCTGGGTCAGCTTAGTTTAGGCTTGGTCGGGATGCTTTAGGTTAGGTCGGGTTACTTTTGGTTTGGTCGGGTTACTTTAAGCTAGTTTTGATTACTTTACGCTTAATATGGTTGCTTAAAGCTAGTTTTGATTGCTTAGTATGGTTACTTAAAGCTAGGTTTGATTGCTTTAAGCTAACACTCACACACACATACCCAGGAAGCAGCCCGTAGCAGCTGTCTGACTCCCGGTTACCTATTCACTGTTAGGTGAACATGGGCATCAGGGTGAAAGAAACTCTGCCCATTTGTTTCCACCACCGCCAGGAATCGAACCCGGGCCATTAGGACTACGACCCTCAAGTGCTGTCCACTCAGCCGCGAGACTGAGGGGGGGGGGGCATTCATGTACTCACCTAGTTGTGCTTGCGGGGGTTGAGCTCTGGCTCTTTGGTCTCGCTTCTCAACTGTCAATCAACTTATGTACAGGTTCCTGAGCCTATTACGCTCTATCATATCTACACTTGAAACTGTGTATGGAGTCAGCCTCCACCACATCACTGCCTAATGCATTCCATCTGTTAACTACTCTGACACTGAAAGTTCCTTCTAACGTCCCTGTGGCTCATTTGGGTACCCAGTTTCCACCTGTGTCCCCCCCTTATTCGCGTACCTATTCTGATGGTTGCGGGTGTTTGTTAAACCGTAATCTGTTTTAAACACAACAGATAACCCCACAAAATATCATGTTATAAGGTCCGGAGGTCTCAACATTCTAGTTCACGTTGGGAACAGGTATGCGGAGAACATCTGGGTATCTCTATGTAATATCAGTCTTACCGATTGCCGAAGGTCACACGCACCAAGGGTCGTGACCTTTCTGGACGCAGCGGCGAGGTTGGTGACCTTCCTGGACACAGCGGCGAGGTTGGTGACCTTCCTGGACACAGCGGCGAGGTTGGTGACCTTTCTCGACACAATAGCGAGGGTCGTGACCTTTACTGGATACAGCTGCGAGGGTTGTGACTTTCCTGGACACAGCGACGATGGGCGAGGGGTCGTGTCCTTCCTGGACACAGCAGAGAGTCGTGACCTTCTGGCCACGAAAGCGAGGGTCGCGACCTTCCTGAACACAGCGGCGAGAGTCGTGACCTTCCTGGACACTCGAGCACCCCACGAAACCGCAGGCGAGTTTCACAAGAACATCCCTCGCAGGACACAAGATTAAGACCCAATATGGTTCGTCTAAGGTCTCACAAGTTTGTTTAGGGGGCTCATGATTGGAGGTGGACACACTGGACGGGTCATGCGGCCTTGAGCTGTGTGTGAGCTGTGCAATACCACCCTCGGCCGCGCGAGGAAGCAGGAACCACCGTTCGCGTGTCTGTGCCAGGAGGGGAGCCCCTGCGTGTCGCTACGTGAGGAAGGAAACTGCTGGCGAAGGTGTGGACTCGCCTAGGAAGCGACGGCCACTACCGCCACCCTCCTCCCCCTCTCTCCGGAATCCATCCACCTTCCCCCCTCTCGCCCCCCACCACACCATACAGAGGCGAGCTTCGTCAGATGTCACCTCCGGAAGGTGTCCCCGCCACACCATCTCCCGTACGAGGTGACACGAACGCATATCCTCACTCTGCAGGCGTTTCCCACCAGCTCGTGAAGGGAAACTCCGGCCTGAATTGTGTATGGGGGATATGGAAGCCGACGAGGAAGACACATGGTGGCCTGTGGGTTACGTCTCTCAGGCTGCCTGACTGGCAGGAAGGGATGGGGGTGGGTTGGTTCGTGGATGGTGAGGGATGGGAGGATGGGTGAGGGGGGGATGGAGGTGGGGTGATTCCTGCCACTATATTATTCTTTCTCACGAGTATTATCTGGTGTATTTTTCCTTCAGAGTAGTTATTAAGTGTGTGAAATGTGGGTGATAGGTTGTGTTTTGCTCGACACTCTGCCTTCCTGTCCTGCATCCATCTCTCTCTCTCTCTCTCTCTCTCTCTCTCTCTCTCTCTCTCTCTCTCTCTCTCTCTCTCTCTCTCTCTCTCTCTCTCTCTCTCTCTCTCTCTCTCTCTCTCTCAAATTTAACTAACATTACAAGTCTATACTAATTGTGTAATTTTCATGACTAGCCCTAGAAGTTTATTATAAGGTGTTTTAACTATTTGTATTGTTTATTTAGCGTTAGGCTACTTATTAGGTACTGAGTGAACCCAGAGGCTTCACACAGTTAATTGAGAACACGTTAAGAATGCGAGGCACCGGAGGACTTGCCGCTGGCTGAGTAACCATGTTCTCTGGGACTGGCACAGTCATGAGGCTTCTCCCTCAATGTATAGTGTTGTTACAGTCGTCTTCCATGATTGTCCACGAAGTTGGGCCAAGACTGTTACCTGGCAGTAAATAGGTACCTGGGTGTTAGTCAGCTGTCACGGGCTGCTTCCTGGGGGTGGAGGCCTGGTCGAGGACCGGGCCGCGGGGACACTAAAAAGCCCCAAAATCATCTCGAGATAACCTCAAGATAGGACGCATGAGAACATTGTCCCCTGTATGCTACAGCGACGCAACGGACATCACACTACTCCTGAGAAATGACAGATATGGCACTGTAGGCTTTTGGGAAAGAACAGGTCTAGATAGGACTAGTCGAAGGTGAAGACGAGGTGGTTCTGTCTTTTCTGAAGGGGGAGAGAGGCGGTTGGGGCATGGAGGAGTGTGTAGGGGTGAGGGAAGAGGGGGTGACCATCCAAGAGAGCGATCCATTCCAGGGTGGAAGGGGAATTTGAGCTTCTGATCAAGTTACGCAGTCACTACTGGCATCCATTACCTCGCAAGGCAAGGCAATCCACCCTCCTATATGGTTCACCGCGTCCCAGCAAGCACAAAGTAAACAACGTTATTCTTACGACGTGGTAACGTTAAAAGTGTCGTGCTTGCTGGAAAGTTTATACAGAATGTGACGTCTCCCTGCTGGGGATAGTCTGAATTTGTACTTTTCTCACCCTCGTTATGTTCAAAGTCACGACTCGAGCCGTATTTCATACACCAGGCCAGTAATGTATACACCAAACCCAGGCCTATATATTGCTAGCAAAACCTTATTTTACACAGAAAGCAAAATTTTATGTTTTAATGTAGTGGAAAGTAATTATCTGTATACGTTATACGTAGTATGTCTCTCTTCATGCGAAATAACATATTTTTTTTCTCTCTCTCTCTCTCTCTCTCTCTCTCTCTCTCTCTCTCTCTCTCTCTCTCTCTCTCTCTCTCTCTCTCTCTCTCTCTCTCAACCACACCATCACAACGTTCCCACAGGACATCAGCATTACCACACACTAAGGCCGTCACTGCAGATACCTTCTACCTCTATTATCTCTTACTCCTCGACTTATCGTCCTCTTATCGTTTCTCGTTTACCTTTCCCCTAAATTTAAAGTCAACTCTCCATTACATTCTCAAAGACTAATTTCAGTCTGTATGTGACAACTGCGAGATCAACTTAAGTTATCATGGTGTCAGTTCATTTACTGATAATGGAGCATCTCGTTTCGTGTTCCATATGTGCTAAAGAGTCCTAAAAACATGACTTTTGGCAGCAGGCGGCTCAGATGAAAGCGTGAAACTGTTATGGTAGTTAATTGGAGCCGCATGATCTTTGTAACGATCTGAAGTATAAAAGGTTTAATTTGGTTCATGGGGTCGGAAAATGGCTCCGGCGGGCGACCCCACGAGATGAGTTGCGTGATGGTGAACCTGGCTGGTGGGTGATGGTGATGATGGTGTGTGAGAGCTCGGCTGTGACAGTGGTGTTGGGAGTGGGGGATGGCGGCTGTGGTGGGTGGTGGCGGTGTGGTAGGTAAGGCGTGTGGGGATCGCAGCTGTGGTGGGTGGTCATTACGGGGGCGGTGTGGGTAGGTAAGGCGTGTGATCGGGCCTTTCACTCACTGTACATGACTCCCGCTCCGAGCCCCCAGTCCTTAGCTGCTGCTGCCCCACTTAAACCCACTAAACGCTGCTACATACACTGCACAACTGTCATTACTTCCACGTGTGTCTTCACCTGTGTTAGCGTTCCACCTTCAGCTCCTGGGCCCGCCTCTGGTGGCGTATGTGTTCCTTCAAGTGCGTCACCTTGTACATAAGAATAAGAGCGGGTGGAGAAGTAGTACAAGAATGACGCAGCATCTAAAGCCAAGAGCCAGTTGGTTAATTAACTACATAACCACATCGGGAAGATGTCTGTGAATGACCAGATGGTCAGGACACACACACACAAGGAGTGTGATTGCGGACAATGTCGAGGAACTTTTGGGAAGTACCCAAGTGAAGTTTCCACGAAGATGTAAGACCTGTAAGAGAACACAGGCCCACACAAGATCGAACCATCGATACTAAAAGGAGTGGCAGCAATGTGTAGTGTCTTTACTGTAGTAGTTATCTCGCTGCAAAAGGAAATTGAAAATTGAAATAAGTTTATAGAGGTAAAGTACACACAAAGGGATGAGGTAGCTCAAGCTATTCTCACCCCGTTCAGTACATCGTGTTAATACATACATAGACACACATCACAAGCAATAAACGTATTACCGAACATTCTGAGAGATAAACATATACATTTCCTCTTGCAAAAGGGAGCTTACCAAATGCCTTAAAACGGCTATTGTGGTGCCAATCAAAACACAGCAGAGGGGGACGACAAGGAGCAGGTAACTATAGACCAGCATCACTAATATGCATCCTCTGCATAGTGCTACTAGAGACTGATCCGCAGAAGACTCATTGAGCACTTAGAACAGTCGAATTTTCCCTCCAAAATCCTGCACGGACTCAGCGACGAAGTATCCTGCTTGACATATTTGTGGCAAAGCCAATAAGCCGACCGAAATCAAATAAGAGAGTGCTTAGGAAGACTGTATATTTCTTGAGTGTCATAAAGTATTCGACACACTGAAACCGAAGTTTCAGGAGCTGAAACTCACGTCCCTGGAAGAGTAAGGGGAGACATGATAACCACCTACAAAATTGTCAGGAAAATTGACAGGGTGGACAAAGACAAACTTTTTACCACGGGCGGAACACGAACAAGAGGACACAGGTGGAAGCTGAGTATCCAAAGAACTTTTTCAGTGTCAGAGTAGTTAACAGGTGGAATGCATTAAGTAGTGATGTGGTGGAGGCTGACTCCATACACATTTTCAAATGTCGATATGATAGAGCTCAGTAGGCCCAGGAATCTGTACACCAGTTGATTGACAGTTGAGAGACGGGACCTAAGAGCTAAAGCTCACCCCCGTAAGCACAACTAGGTGAGTACACTTCCAAACAAGAGACTCATATTCAAGTTAAAGAAGCAGACTGGTAAATATGCAAGTGCTAAGCCAAGGAGCTCATAGTGTTATATACAACCTACGTGAGACCCATTCATGAGAATGCAACCCCGGCATGGAACTCCGACTTAAAGCACCAAAATACAAAACTAGAAAAGATACAAAGCTATGTAAAAAGAGTTGCTCCTGAGTGGAGGGAACCGAGTTACTAGGAAAGAATGGCGGAACTGGATCTCACCACGCTGGAGGAGAGAGGGGGGGAGTAGTGGGGAGACACGATAACGACTTACAAGATACTAAGGCGAATTTCACAGAGACAACTGAATTCTATTCAGATTGAGTAAAAGCAGAACGAGGGGGAATAAATGGAAATGAGACATAGATGAGTAATAAATATTTTGGATATATATCTTCATTGCTGTTAGTGTTCTGAATAATTGGAAATAGTAAGTTGAACGGCTCAAAACAATATATATATATATATATATATATATATATATTTAAATATATATATATATATATATATATATATATATATATATATATATATATATATATATATATATATAATATATATATATTTAAATATAAATGAAATATGGCGGTTTACACTTCGTCAAAATTACATTTCTATATTAAGTAAAGCCTTGACGCAAATGTATTTGGATAAGAGAAGGGAGCCGCTTGCAGTTGCCAGCGCCGGTCCTGCTTGGCTACCATAATATAATTAACTATGCCACCTATTACATTCTGGCCATGTTTGAGAGCTACGGAGACCAAGGGTTGGCATCGGGTAGATTTTTGTCCTGCCAGGGAGTTAGGGTCTGAGAATGTCCTTATTGTGGTTTATGCAAGTATAGGCTTATAAGCTGGACACGAGTTCTCTCACATTGACAGTGGCTTGATGGAAAATGCAGACTGACCCCACACTCATCTGGTGCCTTCGGGAAGTGGAGATGTTTGAGATATATATCTCGAACTATCTACTTCTTTTGTAAGGTCTGATGGTGTAGTGGGTTAAAGCATACTAGTTATGCCAGCTACTGGAAGGTAGTTGTGCTTTCTGGGTTCGAGTCCCACTGGTGGGTGTTGTCCAAAGATGATTAATCTTCACTTGTGGTTTATGCAA